AAAAAAAAAAAAAAAAGAACATGCCAGTCAGGCTAATCCTGTTTCCATTAACAGTCAACTCGAGTGAAGGTGAAATCTTAGAGGACGAATACCTTCCCATCCCATCATGTGTCAAGAGTGTGGACTCTGAGATCAGATGAACAGGTTCAAATCCTGGCTCTGCCACTTAATAATGGTGACCTGGGCAAGTTACTGAGCCTTTCGTTCCTCAGTTTGCTCATCTACAAAATGGAGATAACAATTACACCCAGATGATAGGGTAGTAATGAGAATTAGAAAAGAGACTATTTAAAACATTAAAAATGCTGCCTTGCCACAGTAGCGCTCATTGTTTTTAGAAAATGTTTACTTTCACTAACTGTTCTCTGTATCTTCTTTCCACATTGCAGCTACTTCACTTTTCTTTGTTACTGGTCTTTCTCATTCCAGATTTGCATATTCTACAGAGAACTTGGAACTTATAATACATAGGACAACTGGGCTTTTAAGTGCTTTTTTAGTATATCATGTCCCAAAGTCTAAAACCTAACCAAAATACGATTGGTATTACCAATACACTGCTTTTATTTACAAAATTTGTAGACTTAAGTATCACTAGAATTATTTCTATAAAACCCTCCTGATTTCTTGATTATACTTTTCACCATCCCTGAGCTATTAAAATGCAAAACTAATTGTTGTAAGTGTAGCATCTGTGGAACATTATGTGTCAGGAGTAAGATTCCTCACAGTGGTTTCATTTTCTCTCCCCGGTTAAGCGTCTCTGGGGCCCCAGTGGTACCCACAGGACACACATCCGACAGGATTCTCAAGCTGCCTGATGAACTCTCACCCCTTTGGCAGCTTTATTGTCATTCCTGTGAAGTTACTGTACCTCTCAGTCATATGAGATCTTGCCCTCATTTCATTACTAATTAAATTCGTTTTTACAGAGTCATAAATTAATTATTTGAGGTAAAATTAATGAAATCTGTACCTCACTCCAAGATCTTTTTTAACTTTGGGTAATTAAATTTCAGAGTTATCACGTTAATCTTTATTAGTATTTGAAGGAAATGACTGACACAAAATTGAAGGCTTCAATTTCTTATGTAGTAGGAGAGGCTCTGTCTTAGGGGTAGGTGGACAAATTAAAAGGTGCTCGTTCCACCAGCAACCTCCCTTCATTGTCTTGCATGGCTGGTGGGCCTACATTGGACATGGGTAGGAAACTTGCTAATTTATCTTTAGGCCAGAGCAAATGGGATCTGACTCTAAGGTCATTTGTTGTTCTAAAGGCATGTGTGTTTTATGAGCTTTCATGTCACTTTTCTCTTTCTCATGAGAGGTGAAAAATGACAATGTGAGACTCAGTCTCTTTTTTTATGAACAAGTACATTAGATTCCTAATTGTTGGTGATAACTTGGTTTTCACTTAATGAATATAGCCTTGAGCATCCGTCATCATCGAGAACAAGGAACTTAGTGTTACATAAATGTTTTACCCTATTGGATTAGTAAATGGTTTGTTAACTGGCTGATCCCCATTTCTATTCAAAGAGCATCTTTAGATAAATGAAGCTTTTGAATCACACCCCCAGGAAAAACTCTTGGCAAACATACTGTGCTTTTTGCCATAGGGTTCTCAAAGTATCTTAGAGAAATATTAAAAAGTAAACCTTTAGAAAAAAAGACTAGACCATTTTGCAAAAACCCATAACTCATCTTTTCCCGCAGGACTGACTGATTTAAACAAGGGAACATAATTTAATGTTACTTAACTTCTGTTATCCTAAAGCCTGAAGCTTGATAACTTTTATCGACTCATCCCTATCATGAAAGAGCAGACCCACTTTGAATGTTCCCTGTTCCTGGGGCTTCCCTATCAGGGCGGGGTGAACTAACAGCTGACTTGTTCCATTCAGCTCTCGGGTAACTGGAGTCCGCGAGATGATGGGATGCATTGAGAGGCGAGTGGACCAACTGACCCAACAGTGTTCAGCGCACAAAGAATTTGCTCTTAAGAAACAGCAATTAACTGCCTCGGTGGAGGGCCACCTCAAGAAGGTAGTCTCTTAAATGTGCCCTCCGTCGGCTACTACTTAGATACAGCTCCTTCCTTGGTGATACTAGACAAGGTGATACTGGGTACCGCACCTGCAGCGTGGGGCATGGTGGGAGGATGGTGGCACATCTCCTTTGGCTTCCCTTAGGTTCCACATTGGGTTTTATCATTGAGCAGCATAGAGTTATAGTTCACTACTGCTCAGCAACCATTCCTCTCCCAGGTTGCTGAAACTTGCTGTGTAATCCTCCCCGCCACACCAGCCAGCCCTGAACACGTACACACAAATGTAGTTCTTGCTCTGCATAGAACTGAACCGTGTGCATATTGGGACAGTGTCCTTGTTTTATGTGGGCCTGTGCCTGGTTCCAATATGTACACATTTCAGTTAACATGGTATCATACAACATGAGGACGGCACATAAATACCAAAAGTGATGTTTTAGGGATTTCCAGGGAAAAGTTGTCATTATCATACTTTATTGAAGCAGGTCAGCACAAAGGACGTGGTCATTCCAAATAAAAACATACATGTGAAAATCCTTTTTCTGCAGAGTGGATACAATGACTCGGTACAGGAGAAATTTATTTCCTGTTTTCAAAGAGGAATAAAACCAGGCAGCTGCTGTTTGGCTAAATAAAAAATTGCTTATCTGTAGCTGGGATGTACAGCGAAAACTAGCTCAGGGACATTAATGCTAATGAACCTTGATGCCCCCGCTGGGTCTCAGATTTTCAACGATGTCTTCATCTGATACAGTGGACTCATATGCCTGACTTAAACAAGTAGAATTAGTAGACTTCACGGGAGAGGACATTAAATAACCACGTCTCTATCCACATTGCCCTCCCACCTGTTATTGATCCCGAAACTTGGGAATCTGAGACTTGTTCCGATGCCTGGGTCCAGGGAGAATCCAAATATGGCAGCAGCTGCAGAGCCACATTCCCTGGAGCTTGAGACTCAAGCTAATTTGGTGGTGGTGGACAACACAGTAGGAACTCAGACAACTGTTGCTCCTTGTCTTACTGCCAATTCAGAGCCAACTTGTCTGTGGGAGGTATGGGCCCTGGTGAGAGCCAGAAGATGAAGAATGTAACTTGGATGTTATAGAACCCTTTAAAGAATACTTTCCCATTGATTCGTGTGTACTAAAAATCAAATCATAGTCCCCCACATTCATCAATTACATGGCCCACGTGGGCCCCTGTGTTTTACAGTCACATGTACAGGGTTTGGTACTGCCCCAGGGCTCCTAAATGTAGCAACCTCCAGGGTGATTTAATACCCAGCTTTGGACCTTTACTTCAAGATGTGCCTTTAGTGGGCCCCCTTCAACTTACAGTGGATGATTATGAGTTAATTAATCAGATAAATTCATCTCTGCTGATGTGTTAGCAAGTGCATTATCTTTTCTAGGTAATATAGGTGATAAGTTCTTAGAAGATGTGGATGATTGTTTATATCTCATTGCTGTTAATAAAATATATGTCTGTTAATAAATATATGTCTTTAAACATATACCCTGGGTATGTGGTGGGTCAGTAGCATTACCTCATATGAAGAGCAACATTATTAATTTTAACATGACATTCTAAAATATTTAAAACTATTTTTAGTTGGAAATTGGTATATCCATTTAAAGTACAATGGGAATAGAGAGAGTAGTATTTATCTTTTCTATACATATGCAGACATGTATGCAAGTACATATTACTAAGACTGCAATATATTCTTTATTGCTAAAGGTGGAAATGTCAATTCAGAAAATCAGTCCAGTACTTTCCAGTGCAATGGATGTCGGTTCCAGCCTTTCTGAATCAGGGAAGATTTTGAGTAAATACTTGGAACTAGATATGGAAGCTAAGGTAAATTAAATAGGAATTATTGTGGTTATGATTTTGTAAATATGACTTCTTTTCTTTATATTCAGTGGCTATAAAACTTAATGCTAGCTCTCTTGAGGGTTGCAATTCTAAATTAATATTGTGGTAAATAATGACTTAAAACTTCTATTATGTGTATCTAAATTATTTATACTTATATGTGCATTTATTAGGGTGTTCACTGAACTTTGAGTTCACTGAAACTTTGTAACCTGGTATTAAACACTCATCTGGCCCCTTTTCCTTGCCTGGGAGATGTTAGCAACTCCTTTTGGGATGCCACAGGACGCAGGGAGAGTGTTTCTCTAAGACTATTTGTGATTTTCTGCTAGAGTAAGTTACGAAAGAAAATTCCCAGAAGCAATATGCATTAATGCAGGATTCCAGGAAGCAAATAAAAAACACGATCTTGCTGCAAGCCCAACGTTCAGGGACAGAAAATACCCTCCTCTGGCTCCTCCTCACCCCTTTCCCCCTGGGACTTAGGTTCAAATATTCCTGCTAGTAGCTCCACCTCTGCACTGAGTCCCAGCCGGCGCAGCAGATGTTTAGAAAGGTGAGTCTAGCAGCTCTCCCAGCTCACCCAAGTCAGTAGGCAATGGCCTTGTTATTCCATCGGTTCTCAGCCAGAAGACCTCCTTCATGTTTGGGAACTCACAGACACACCGATGTTTTTAAATGGAATTTTTTTAACTCATTATTTCAAATGTTTAAAATAAAACATATGTCTAAATTCAATTTCACTATTATATTTTAAGAATTGTAGAAGAAGGGAGGAAATGGCACAGGGAGAAACTCCCCTGCTTCCTCCTACCCAGAGTGCTATCTGGAAGCAACACTTGGAAATGAAAATTAGCTTCATTCAGTGGAGTACTTGGGAAGCATATTAAATACAAGCAGGGAAGCAATTCCTTCTTGCTGCAAATGACAGTGAAGCTTTTTTCTTTCATTTTTGCTTGATTCCTAGTTCAGTCTCACATAAAATTTTACATGGCTCTTTCTGTGGCAGTTGCAGATGTAATGCCTACCATACTGGCTTCTCCGTTCTCTGTGAGATTTTACCTGCCAGGAAGTACACTCAAAAGAAGACCCAGAAGAGCAACCCTGTGGGCTACTTAGATTTCATATATAACATTTCCCCTACCCTTGTTCAAAAACCTTTCTAGATAGAGATTTAAGTAAGACTACATAAGTGACATGTCATTTTTTATAAATTAAACAAGGAGTAAACAATTTCTATAAACTTGCCATCTCTTGTATTATTATAATATATATATAAATTATAAATTAGTTTAAGAATTTGCTAGAGCTATTATTAAATTTCCCAAATTATTAAATTATTAAATTATTAAATTTCAAAAAGCAATCCTCATGTATAATTGTTAAATAAATTACTCAAAACATTTCTGCCATTTTGTTTTATAACTTTTCATACCAAACAGCCTTTCTTCTCTTTGTGACACACACACACACACACACACACACACACACACACAAATAGAATGCTCCAAATGAAAAGCAGAGCTGGTAGAGTGAGAGAATAATTTGAGATGGTTTTCATTTTAAGATTACTTTTTTTTTTTTTAAAGTTTGAAAGTTATGCCTTTTTTTCATTGAGGAGAGTTCTGGTACAAGTTCAATTAATAATTGTAATAGATGGATGTACAGAAGGTAATGAAATGTGAATGTTCATGATTCCCCTGTCAGCTTCTGACCCACTGTGCTTTGCTTTCATAGGAGACAGCACATGAATTAGAAGCAGCTGCAAAACTTATGACAGAGAAAAATGAATTTGAACCTGATGAAGTGGCATTGCTTTCTTCTAAAGCTAAATGGCTAGAGGAAGAATTAAAAATACTTGGCCAAAGCATCGGCTCCAGGTCACAAGTCCTGCAAACTTATGTGGCATTTCTAAAGTCCTCAGAAGAGGTATGGTGCCCACGTGTGGACCTTCTTCAGCAAAGTGGACTCTGCCCTTCTTCCTGCTTTCTCTGGGGGTAGAAGCCCTGCTGGGTTGTCCCGTATCCTCCACTCCCATGCGTGTACTCACTTACTGGCCCTTTATTCTCCAAGGCACCATACAAGAACTCAAAGAGTAGGTTGTTCTCCTAAAAAATAATGCAAGTGTTGGGTGTAGATACAAATAAGCAAGGTGGTTGTGTTGGAACGCTTTTTACTGTGGCCTACAAGCATTTATAATATCCTAAACAGAGAACAAAATTATTTAAAAATAAGTCATCTTCCACCATGGATCTCTTTGAATACTCAACAATTACTTCGATTCATTTAAAATGCATACACAGAATCAGAAATTATGGGCTTTTGGGTCGTCTCAGATCTGTCTTGTTTGATGCCTTTTTTTAAAAATTTTTTATTGTTATGTTAATCCTATAACAAGTTTACCTCGGAGAGCTTCTTCTGAGGCACTATTTTGACAGGGTCATACTAGAGAATCTGTGAAATTCCCTCCCGCAGACTACGGTTCCATCTCTCAGAGGTCCCAGTCTCTGGGAGATGGTATCAGTAATGGAAAAGGGCTAGGGTGCCACCTAGGAGCACGCACACTCTGCCACTCTCAGGGAGGCGGGCACTGGCCTAGCGGGAGGTAGAGCCTACACGGTCCACTCTGGGGTAAAGCCAACCAAAGTTAGGGAGCATGCTTGAATTTTTCTCACCCCCACCCTCCCACTGTCACCGGTCCGCCCCCACCCCCAGCCCACCAGCGTCCTGCCTGAGCACATCTCCTCTGTCAGCTCTCATTCTGTAATGTTCTGAATTCTCACCCCTCAGGAAGAAGGCCATGCCCAGTCCCAGCAAATCTCAGGTAACCACTGCCCCATTCCATGTCTTTACTCCACCTTTTGTCACCTAAACTTTTATTTAGTTTTTCTTAGCCCTGAACCCTTATGGTTTGGGAAAGGTATTGCAATTGACAGGATTATCCTGTTGAACATTTTTATTCGGAACTTGAAATGGTGGAGAAGGTACAAAGAAATGCTGTTTTCTGTGTCTTCATTGCCAAAAATGCACCTGCTTGGCTTCTACTTCAGCATCTACTTCCATGGCCGGTTCTGGCCTTTGGGACCAAGAGCCTCTCTAGGGCTGGACCTTAGCTTTGCAAGAAACACTTTCTCAGAAGGACCTCACATCTTTCCACCCTCCCTGCGTTCACTAAATCTGTTTTGCTCCCTGGTGGAGCCTTCTGTCCTTCTCATGTTGGCGGTGCTCTCAGTCTGTCACCCTCCAACCCCCTCGGGCTCTCCTTCTTTCCTCACCAGCTCCTGGTTATTCATTTCCAGCCCACTCTCCATCCTGTCATCACCCTGCCGTCCACCCTGACTCTCCCTGCCAATTCCCAATACCAGGCCAAACCAACCCTCCGTTTACTCAGCTTTCAGACACTCTATGGAAAATCATACGGTTGTGCTGATTGGCACTGTTACAATGTATGGGTGGCTGCCTCCGCCGGGGTCCCCGTACACTCCCTTGTTGGCGCCCATTCAGTAGTGATTCTCAAACATCTTACCCCAGTTTCCATCCCTAAATCTCAACCAAGGCCCTTTCCTTGTATGTGACTGACACATATGACAAAAAATCCTTGGCCTCCTTCGACTTCAAACCTATTGACACATGGCATTCCCCCAGTTGCCAATAACGTGAAGCCTCTGTTTGTGCCCAACATGAATCAGCCGTCAGTCCTTCCCTGCACGCGCCTATGCCCTTCAGAATCAAGCTTCAGCTAGATCCATCCTCCACTTGTTCAAATCTGCTTTTTCTGTTGCTTCCTTCTTGTGGGTCTACAGCCATGGCCGATGGTGTTACCCTCACCAAGGCTGCCACTCTGTAATTGTCCTTCCCTTCGCGCCTGCGCTCTCTGAACGGGAAGATGACACTTCTCGCCTCTGCCTGCCTGTCCTCCCCAAGCCTCGCCCCGCTGCCTCTAGTGTATTCCCTCTTCAGTCCTGCCATTTACCACCCTTTCCCTCCAATGACATTGTCCTGATAAGCTACTTGCTAGTTGACAAATGAGATGCTGTATTTTCAGTCCTCATCCCCATTAATCTCTCTGGCACATTTAACTCTCTCGCTCTCACCTCCTGTGACTTTTTAAAAGGCAGATTTGTTGAAGTACAATTTACATAGGATAAAATTCCCCTGTTTTAGAGTGTGAGGATTTTTAGTATATTTATAGAGCTGTGCAGGCATCGCTACACTCCAGTGTTAGTATATTTCCATCACCCCAAATAGGGGCCTGCTGCATACTTTTAGTCAATCCTGGCTTCCATCCTCCAGCCTCAGGCAAGCACGGAAATGCTTTCTGTCTCTGTAGATGTACCTTATTTGGATATCAACTTAAGTGGCATCATCTTGTCTACTTCTTTATCTGTTCCTTCTCCTTTTTCCTCATTTAGTTTGCTGTTTCTGAAGTGTGGTGAGTCATGGAGCTCTTACCTGTGCTCTCTTTTGGACATACTATACACTTTCTATACAAAATCACATCCCTGCCTGCGGTTTTAATACACTAATAACTCAAAAATGGTTCCTCAGCCCCCTCTCTTCCAAGCCCCAGACCAATGCTTTCAACTTCCAATCATACTAATTCCCTATATATCCTGTAGGCTTGTAAAGCTCAACAAAACACAACCAGTTATCTGTTTTTCAAACGTGTTTTTCTTCTGTGGCTTGGCATTGGATTAATGACCCCATCAGTTTTCAGAAGTCCCATGTAGAAGCTTCAAAGTCTTTTCCAAGACCTCTCTCAATGAGCACTTGTTTTGTACGAGCCCCATTCTTTTCATTCCTGATTTCATTTATTTACTTAAAGATTTTATTCACTTATTCGAAAGTGAGAGAGAGAGCACAAGCGGGGGGGGAGAGGTAGAGGGGGGACGGAGAAGCAGACTCCAGGGAGGCTGAGGGGGTCTCAATCCCAGGACCCTGGGATCATGACCTGAGCCGAAGGCAGATGTGTAACCAACTGAGCCACCTAGGCGTCCTCATTCCTGACTTCGTTTAATCCTTATAACACCTCTATGTTTAGTTACTATTATTCCTCTTTTACAAATAAGGAAAACTGAGACTCTAAGAAGTTAGGGTATCCAAGATCAAACAGCTAGTAAATGTCACAGCTGAAGTTTAATCCCTAGCCTCCTCCCTTTGGTCTTTTCTTGTATTGAAGGCCATGCTATCCCTTGTTTATCTATAGGGACAACCTAAAAGATTTCTGAATTCCCCTTCCCCTCCACCTGAACCATCACTTCCTCAGTTCAAGCCCTCACCATCTCTTGCTCAGCTTAAAGAAGTTGTCTTCTGCCTGTTCTGCTTCCTGTAATTATCCGCTTCACTCCTTTCAAAAAATGGTCATTCTAAAGCAAATCTGATCATGTTACCTCTTGACATTCAGGTAATATGACAAATGTAATTTGTGAAACAAATTATAAATAACTTTTTTTTTCAAATTATAAATAACTTTTACTAAAAATGGGTGATGGGTATTAAAGAGGGCACGTTCTGCATGGAGCACTGGGTGTTATACACAAACAAAATCATGGAACACTACATCAAAAACTAATGATGTGATTAACATAACATATGGTGATTAACATAACATAATAAAATTTAAAAAAAAAAAGAAAAAATGGATGAAGTATTGAAGTTTATCATTAATTCCCTTAAAGCATAAACTAGTACAGATTCAAGGGAATTCCCATAAATGGCATCATTCTCACTTGCATTCAAGTTTCTTTGAGCCATGGAAAAGGAGGATGAATTAAAATTTATGTTTTGAGAGTTGCATATAACCGACAGCCCATCAAATTGACATCCCAGCCTGTAGCATACAGCCCCATAGAAGTGCTGATAGTTATGCTGATTCTGAACCATTGTGACAGCTATCAGTTGTTTCAAACTAATGAGAATCTGTCACATCATGTTGGTTAGAGTAGAAAACAAGTTGAAACCTGCTGGCTGCTTTATCCAGCACCGTGATTCCTCTAGCTTCTTTCTTAACCACTCAGCTCATGCAACCTGAACTTCACTCACACTAAGATCTTTTATGGCACTCTGAACCAGCCAGTGTTTTCACACTTGTGCCTTCACACTTGTTAACCCTTCCGTCTGGGATCCCCTTCTACTGCCTCTTACCCTGGATAATTCTGAAAGACACAGGTCAAAGGTCACTTCCTTTGGGTAGTTCTTCCCTATTTATTCCATGTAGAGTTGGTGGTCCCTCCTCAGCGGGCCCATAACATTGTGTGTATACTTGTCTTTGTGTTAACGATAATTTGCTTATGGTTCTCTTTCTCCCAGAACTATCTTTGGGAACCCAAGGGAATGAATCCTTAATTCTTTTTTTTTTTTCAAAGACTCTACTTATTTATTTGACAGAGAGAGAGACAGCGAGAGAGGGAACACAAACAGGGGGAGTGGGAAAGGGAGAAACAGGCTTCCCGCCGAGCCGGGAGCCTGATGTGGGACTCGATCCCGGGACCCCGGGATCATGACCTGAGCCGAAGGCAGTCACTTAACCAGCTGAGCCACCCAGGCGCCCCAATCCTTAATTCTTACCAGGGAAACTTAGGAGCCTCCATGGAGGAGGTAGCCATTTCACTAGTTCATGAAGGATAAGTAGAAAATTAAGGAAAGCTCATTCTAGGCTGAGGAAACAAGCATCAGCAAAACAGAAGCATGAATAAATGTAAAATGGGAAATGAGGATAGAACTTCTGTTTCTGAGCACCATTTGCAGGCCCACCTATTAAGTTCATTTAAATGATGAATGATGTTAATATCTTTAAAATATGGTGACTAACCATTGCCTGAAATTTCTCACCTTGTTTAGATTGCTTTTGGTAGTTATGAGCTCTTCGAGTCTTGTTCTATTGGCCATTAAATATTACTCAAAATGCATAAAAGCTTGTGTCAGAATTTTTCTATTTCTACATTACCCAATTACATATTAATCTATAGTTCTACAGGCACATTTGATTTTATATAAGCTCTGATCAAAGAGTGATTTAAAATAATCTAGTACTGCTAGCATTGGTTAGCAAATGAGAAAATATAGTTTTAGGCAGGCGAAGTAATGTACCTCAGTAAGATAAGCCTATGGAGGCAGCTTAATATTAATACTTGCACAGAAAATTGGTAATTGTTTGTACTTTTTTATTCTGGTTTATCACTGATTAGAAGGAAATTGTGATTAATAATTATAAATAATTTTTCACTGGCTTACATTTCTTTCCTTCTGATTTGTATTCCCTGGTTGTGTGTGTGTGTGTGTGTGTGTGCATGCACGTGTGTATGTATCTTCCTTCTGAATTATAAAACTCGGCTTTAAAGGGACCCACACTGGTCTTTGACACAAATTGTCCCTAGTTGCAAAACATGCACATATGTAATACATAAATATGGTTTTGGCTATGGTAACTAGGTCTTATGGGTAACAAACTTGTCAGCTTAATTTGCTACTGAGGGGTAGTCTTATCTGTCAACAACCTAAATGGATTTTCGTGTCTTTTCAGTAATTGACAATATTCAATAATAACTTAAAGAATTCTGAAATGTAGTTTCTGTTTAATTTTTACATAGGTTTTTACTAGAATCTACTGCTATTTTTCTTTAAAAATGTTTTTAAGTGTTCTTAATTTTCATTTATACTCTCCTTTTTTTTTTCTTTTTCTTTTAGGTACAGGAGCAGTGTCAGAGCCTAAAGGAGTTTTACCAAACTGAAATCCTGCAGAAGGAAGAGGATGATGCTGAAGCCAAGCATCGATCTGACTCAGCTGAGAAGCAATGGCAGCTATTTTTGAAGAGGAGTTTTTTAACTCAAGACCTAGGGCTTGAGTTCCTTAATTTAATAAATATGGTAAGAATGACATTAAATGTGTTACACCTTCTGCAAGGATACCTTGTCAAAGTCAAAACCATAAATTCAAAAGTCCATCTGTCTGCTAATCAGCCTTGCTGGTTTAGGAAGTTGTTTTTGGTTTTATTATTTTTTTTGTTATTATTTTTTTTTTTTTTAGCTTTATTCAACCCAGAACAGTCCTAAAACTGAGCATTTATATGCTTATTTGGTCTTAGACCTCCTATTCATTTCTAGTGAAGGCTATTTTAACTATTAAGAAGAAAGAGTGACTATAATTCAAATACAACATTGCCATTATTACATAGAGACCTCAGTAGAAGTCCATCCGGAAGTTGTATTATTTTGACAGCGTGCAAAAAGGTCCTTACAAACTTTCCAGGGGTTAAAGACAACATCTAGGGTGAATCATCATTTTGAAGAATTTCTTACCATAGCAGATCTTTTCATAGTAAAACTCCATTATATTTAGAAATGTACTTCAAAATTTTAGTTGTCGAGTTGTATCTGTAAAATACTAGAATTTTTATATCAACCCATGACCCATATAAAGTTCTCTACAGAGTTTTAAAAAAATGGCTAATCCACCTCTCCTTTAATACCTCAAGTATCTTCCTAATGAAACTGCTCATTTTGTTGTTACAAAATTCCAGCTACTAGAAACCTTTTTTTTTTTTTTTAATGTTAAGCCAAATCTGGCTTCATATCTCTTTCTAACCCTCTGTAGCTACACAGGGGGAAAAAGTGTTCATATTTCATTCTTCTCACACATGAAAGTCCTTCAAACACTGAAAATAGTTGCTATGTCTAATCTGGGTTTTTCCAGTAGCTAACCACATAGAAATCCTTTCTATCATTTATGAGATAGCTTCGTTTCTCTTTCCATCCTAATTCTCCCTCCCAGAATTTTCTATGGTTTGTCAAAATCATTCATAAAATGTAACCAAAAAGTGAGGTCCAACTTCAACACAAAGTACAAGAAAGTGGACTTCATCCTTTACTAAGGAGACCTAAGATTATGCTAACATTTTTAGCAATAATTTCACTTTGCTGGCTCATATTAGGCTTGTGATCAAATAAAACTCCCCTTACATTTTCATTGCAATTCCTACCAAGCTACTTCTCTCCCATCTTATATTGGTCAGGCATTTATCTTTTACATACAAATGCAGGCCTTTATATTTATTCCTATTTAATGTCATTTTGTTAGTCTTTACCCATGATTCCATCTTGTTAAAATAATTCTGAATCTGCTCTCTTTTCTGAATTTAATTCTATACATTTTATAAGTAGCCCTTCTGTGGCTGCAAGTAGATTTTTAATAAAAGTGTCTAGGGGCAAGTCGACTTCCCAATCCATTAAGCCATCACTTGATTAACCCGTTTATTAAACGGTCATGGACACTTCCAATAGTACTTCATTTCAACCACTAATTCACAACTTTTTTCCTAAGTCTGTCGTGAGCGAGATAGAACAAAAGAGTGCCTACCTACCAATTATCCTATCAATTACGTAAGTATAATTTGGCATAAATCAGGTTGACTCCTTGTGATCGAGGAATTCTTTCCAAAGTTCTCACAAACTACTTGATCCATGATAAACTTATTGCACTGATTTTCAGTGTAAGGCTTACCAATCTGTAAATGATGTAGACCATCCTTTTCCCCCTTGTGAAAATCAGGGCATTTTCCTTTCTCTAACTTTCTGGCCCTTCTCTTATTTTCTGTCGATTTGCAAAGATAACTGACATCTGCAATTTTCCCAGTACTCTGAAATGTGATGAGTCTCAGTCTGGAGTCTGAATTCATTTGGAAGAGTTAGGTTCTATAACTATTCTCATCACTTTGAGCTACAATTTTCTCTTTTTTTGTGTGATTTTTTTTTATTATTATGTTCCGTTAGCCAACATATAGTACATCATTAGTTTTTGATGTAGTGTTCAATAATTCATTGGTTGCATGTGCAATTTTCTCTTTATGTACTCTCTCCACTTTTACTGTTTGAAGACTATTCTTATTAAATCTATGAGGAAACAAAATAAGTATTAAATAGTGCTAATTTATCTAATGCTATTCTTAAGCATCAGAGAAAACTTGCTAAGCAATTTGCCCATGTTCTTATGTTATACAAGTGCTTTATTGTAAAAACTAATTAAGTTATTTTTCATTTGGAACATTTAGAACACGTATTATCTATCATCTTTTACATTTTTACTCAGTCTCTTGATTGTGTACTTCTCTAATTTGTATTCACAATGGAATTCAAATATTTGCAAACTACATTTTTATGTCTATCCTTTTTATTACTAACTTCATTTCAGAAATTTATTTTCCAGTTCTGAAATTTCCAGTTGGATCTTTTTTTATTAGATTTCAATTGCCAGTGAAATTCTCTCTCTTGTCCTCTCTCCATCTCTCCTGTACTTTCTTGACCATATTAATCATGGATATTTTAAAGTGTTTGTTGGCTAATTCCAATATCTGGGCCTGGAGTTGTTTCTGTTGTCTACTTTTCTCTTGGTTTCCAATCATGTAGTCCTGTGTTGGCAGGACCCATGAATCAAATCTATCAAATCTCAGGCATTATGTATAAAACACATGCTTTACCCCGAGGTCCTTACCACTTTCATATAATAAATTCCTCCTTATTGATAAGAATTAAGATCCACCTAATAGTTAACTTTAATGGTTCAGTGACATGCTGAGATAAGAAATTATTGGTAAAGCAAGTAAAACACATTTTTAATCCTCTTCATATTTTTTGGGCCATTAGGCTTTTAAACAAACATTATTGTTGAAATGTGGTAACCAGTTTTGTTGTTAAAAGGGAAGGCCAACTGGCATTTTCCACTGAGTGTCCTGCTCTTGATTAGGTTGCTGTGGCTCATCTTTTCAAGCTTGAAACTGAAAAATTTTCAGTTCATCTAAAAAAAAATCATCAAGATCAGAGAAATTGATTTAGGTGAGAAATCTGGCAGACATCTTGATGAAAGTGTCAATTTACTAATTTATAGTGGTGAATATCAAAGATGCTATCCAGGTTACTGCCTTCCTGTTATCAACGTATCTAGAAAACAAAACACACCATTAACTGTGCCTGAATTCAAACGGAAAATGGGTAATTTAGTACCCTATTAGATAAGATTATGACAAATTTTTCCATGCCCCTACACAGAAGTAGGGTGAGTATTGTGTTTACTAACTAGACCTTGGACAAATTATTTAATATTCCTGAGTGGTCAAAATTTTAAGTCTGCCAAGTGCATCATCACTCTTCTTGAATCCTGCTAGCTAGACAGCAACAAATACTACTGTGCTCTCCCTTTTCCAGACCTCACTCGAATCATGCCCTGTGGATTTTGCTTGACACTGATATGCTGCAATTTCCAAGTTTACATTAAATTATATGTTATATTTTAATTAATAGTTACTTAATAGTATGTGAAAGATACCCTAACTTTATAGCATAGGTAAAAAAATATATTATTTGCAATGGGTTTTGCTGAAGTTGTCTAGTATCTTTTATGATATATTAGAATCTTGTTAACCATAATTGCAGCATATATCATTTTATTTCTGAACCCCCAAATTCATGGGAGGAAATCTCATTTAGGACCTGCAATTATATTCTTTTGTAATTAATCAGTACTTTATTATGTCTAAATTGATATAAAAATATAAATATGAAATATTGATGTCCTTTAAAATAATTTAAAAATAAGATGGAGTTTTAAAATATTGTTGCATATTTATGACACTATCTTCTGACTACAGTTTAAAAGATCCCTTGACTTTTAGATACCTAGCTGTAATTGCAATTATAGACAACCATGCATATTTGCTCCTTAGAAATTTAATGATTTATTGAGAAAGGCTGGCCATCAAAGTAAAAACCATTGTTTTGTCAACCAAATATTCAAATATCACATTTTGTATGTGCAAACATAAAAAAAACACTAGGTCTTACTCTTTACTTCTCTTATCCTTCTGCCTCCAATTGAATTTCCCCTTGTTTAAAAACAGTGTTTAAAGGTTTTCCGATCAGTCAACCAGAACATATAGAAGTTGGGAAAAGGGCTCTGCATTTAGATATTGTGATTCTAGTGCATAAAAGAGATACAAATATAGAGATATGTAGACGTATACATTTCAGTTCTCACAAAAGGGAGTAACTTCAAGCACAGTTCACAAGAAAAATTTAAAATAATCATAGTATATACAATGGGATAGTTTAAAGAGAAAAACAGACCCCTCATATTCCTGATACTAAGATTTTGACACATTCTAATGAGTGTGTTAAAATTAAAGGTGGACTACACTTCAAAACTTATGCATTAAAATAATCTTGACTTCAACATTTCTGGTTCCTGGTGCTCATTCTATCACCCCTTAAGCCCTAGGAAATAACCAGACCCTGGCCAGGGGTGCGAGGGTTGGGACTCAAACACCACTGAGGTTTTGAAGAACTCAGGACCTGGTGTCCAAGCATAGAATATAGGTTCTGAGAGCCCCACTGTGCCTTCACACAAGCATTCCAGACTTGTCCTGATATCAGAACCGTGCCCTGCATTGGCTATGATCAGGTGTTTGCTTCCTAAAATAGTGTATGCAAAAATGTTGTGTCTCTTGGGAAAGAAAAGCCATTATATGGATTATTAATTTAACAGGCAAAAAGGGATGAAATATTAAATGCGAAAAGTGAAGTGCACTTTATGGAGAACACTATGGAAAGCCAGAAGGCAGAAAGAGAAGAACTCAGCCACCTTCGGATGACATGGCAACTTAAAGCCATTGCAAGCAAGCCTGTGAAACAGCAGTGGGGAGCATTCAAAGAACAACTTAGAAAGGTACAGGAACATGCAGTGGATATTATTAAGTCTTAAAAACGAATGAAATTCTGACATATGCTGTAGCATAGAAGAGACTTTAAAACATGATGCTAAGTGAAATAAGCCAGTCACAGAAGGGTAAATGTTGTATGATCCCACTTACATGAGGTACCAAGAGTCAAGTTCATAAAGAGAGAAAGCAGAATAGAGGTTACCGGGGCTGAGGGGAGAAGGGATGGGAGTTACTGGTAAATGGGTACAGAGTTTAGTTTGGGATGATAAAAAGTTTTGGAGGTAGATGGTGGCGGTGGGTACACACTAATGTGAATGTCCTAATTCCACCAAACTGCACAGTTAACAATTAGTTAGAATGGTAAATTTTGTTATGTATATTTTACCACAATAAAACCAGAACCAAGTAAAGGAAACTCAGGGCCTGCACTTTTGTTCACTGGTGATTTAAAACCTCGAACTCACTTGAGGTAGTGAGTGTTTTCATAGGGATGGAAAAGTTCGATGACATACTAGTCATCGCTGGAATGGTCGTTACATATTTGCTGGTGGTATCAAAGAAAACAAACTCATGACTATCTAATGTTTATTTCAGACTACTTACAACTTACAACTTCTTCAGGAAGCACTTATGCCTGTGTCTGCTCTTGACCTTGGAGGGAGCCTCCAGACCATTTTAGGTCTACAGAAAAAATGGAACGAAATGAAGCCTCAGCTCCAGGTGAAGAAACAGACTGATAGACTTGGGTGAACGGGAAAAAAATAAAAAACTGAGTCTTTCAGAGGGGAAGGGGGTGGGGGGATGGGTTAGCCCGGTGATGGGTATTAAAGAGGGCGCTTATTGCATGGAGCACTGGGTGTTATACACAAACAATGAATCATGGAACACTACATCAAAAACTAATGATTTACTGCATGGTGACTAACATAACATAATAAAATTAAAAAATAAACAAAACATAAAATGGATTGCCATATGACTTAGCAGTTGTACTCTTGGGCATTTATCTCAGAGAAATGAAAACTTATGTACTAAATACTATGTACACAAATGTTTATAGCAGCTTTATTCAAAATAGCCCCAAACTAGTAACTACCCAAGATGTCCTTCAACAGGGAATGTTTAATGATTAAACTAAACAGCCATGTCATGGAATACTACACAGCAATAAAAGGCATGAATGATTGATATACACAACAGCCTGGATGAATCTCAAGGGAATTGGCTGAATGAAAACAGCCAATCCCTAATGTTGTTTATTGTGTGATTCATTTATATAATGTTCTTGAAACAACAAAACTTGAGAGATGGAGAACAGATTACTGGTGTCAGAGTTAGGGATGGATAGGGGAGGAAATCATTATAAAGGGAGCCATGTGGTGATTGAATAATCCCTTATCTTGATTGTGGTTGTGGTTACATTAAGCTACACATGTGATAAAATTGCATAGGACTACACATATACACAGACACACAGACACACACACAAGTGCATGTGTAATTGGAGAAATCCAAAACAACTCTGTGGATTGTACGAATGTCAACTTCCTGGGTTTTATCTTGTTGTACAAGATGTTAACTTTGGGGAAGAGAAGACTGGAGAAAAGGAGCATGGAACTTCCCTGTACAATTCTTTTTTTTTTTTTTAAATTAGACATTTCTTTTTAAAGATTTTATTTATTTATTTGACAGAGAGACACAGCAAGAGAGAGAACACAAGCAGGGGGAGTGGGAGAGGGAGAAGCAGGCTTCCCGCCCAGCAGGGAGCCCGATGCGAGGCTCCACCCCAGGACCCTGGGATCATGACCTGAGCTGAAAGCAGACGCTTAATGACTGAGCCACCCAGGCGCCCCTCCCTGTACAATTCTTTGTAATTTTCTTTGAATCTATGATTATTTCAAAATAAAGATGTTAAAAGACAACACAAAACAAAATGAAACTGTTCAGTTGAGGTTTACCTAATTAATTTTCACAGACGGGTGAATTACTTTTTTTTTTTTAAACAAAAACATTGCTTGTCTAAAACTCCACTTTAAAAAGACATTTTTCTTACTGTTGTTCTGCACTGTTCTGTATTTGATGAGACACAAACATTCAGGCCACAAAATGTCCTTAATATATTCTTATCTTAGATTATTTTAATTTATGTTAAATTATTTCCTTATTAATGTATTTATCACATATATTGACTCTAATTATTTCCCTAAGAGGTATAGACACATTTTAGATGAAGACATCTGAGAGCAAGGATGGGCAAGCTCTGACACAGAGGCCCTCCTGCCCTTTGTCCCTGAAATTGCCACTATGATGTCACTGTCCCCGCCCACTGGCACCCCAGGTTCCCAACAGCCTCCCAGGAATCTTGCTGTGCTCTCCCTGTTCTCCCTCTCAGAGAGCCCTCAGGAGATGAGATAAAACCATGAGTCATGTTCCCAGGCCCTGACTCTGAATGCATTCCATACCCTCAACCTCCTGCGGCTCCTAAACCTGATACAGCTGCCAAAAGTGATTGCTGGTCATGCTGTCCTCCTGCCTGGCTTCTTGTTCTTTGCTGCAAAGTCAAGCTATCTGCGTTTCTGTTGGTCACAACTTCCTAAGTGTTGGCCTTAAAGAATGCCGAATCAGAAAATGGAAGATTCCTTTAAGGAATATCTATTTTAGATTCTTTAAAATAAAACTGATATCATGGATAACCAGCCCCCCGCACAAAAACACACCATTGTAGCCCATGGTGAATGAGTTCTTGTAAAATCTTAGAAAATTCAACTACCCTACGTGTTAGGTACTTTGATATACCCTGTGTTATATATGCCTATTTGCATTTCATGTTTACATGCGTGCACATGCCCCTGCACATGCGTGAGTGTGTAAATCCCTCGAAGTCAGGGGCCATTTCCAAGCTTTGTTAGTTCTGTCACTGTGACGTGCATGTATTTGATGTCCCCATGCTTGATTTCAACTTGAAGACCTTTCTGTTACTCTTCTGCAAATTATTTCCTTTGCCTAAATCATTTCCATTACTTTTCTCCTTGATAGAAGAAGATCCATCCCTGATGTTATAGTGACTTCCTCTTTGAGTTGTCCACCCTTTGCAAGTTCTATCCCAGAATCTGGATTCCTATAAGGGATCTCTGAGCAGTGCTGGGTAAAAAGGAAGCTGCTTTATCCCTCCCTACATATGGTGGCTATTTGTGGATTCTGGGATGACCATTTTTTTAAAAGATTTTATTTATTTATTTATTTATTTATTTGAAAGAGAGAGAGAAACAGCATGAGAGGGAAGAGGGTCAGAGGGAGAAGCAGGCTCCCTGCTGAGCCGGGAGCCCGATGTGGGACTCAATCCCAGGACTCCGGGATCATGACCTGAGCTGAAAGCAGTCGCTTAACCAACTGAGCCACCCAGGAGCCCTGGTGGATTATGGGATGACCATTTTTAAAGCAGCATATCTACCACATGGCTCAGCTGGTAGTTCACTCAGACCACTCTGTTACGCTAGAGGACAAATAGTTCCCCCAATATATTTTTAGACTTGCCTTCTCTGGTGTTTTTACCACACTGCCTGATTCTAGTCTGTATTAAATATCAGAGATGGTCATGGCTTCACAGAATATCTAAAATACATTCAGTTAACAGATAACTGGAGTATTTGGTGTGCCACAGAAATAGGTAACTTTGTAGTTTACCAGCTGGCTTTGAAACAGGTTTTTTTGTATTGTTGATAATTTTTTTTTTTTAATTTCTGAGAAGTTGGGGATAGAATAATGTATCCTTAACATCAAGCACAAAGCTTGGATTTGCAGGGATGGGGTGGGGCTGACAATAAATAATTGTTAACAAATGAGAGAATGATTTGTGATTTAGGTCTTCCTATAGTCAGTTATAAAGTAAAAAGCTCCCTAAAAGCTGGATATTTTTATTGCTTTTAACTTTTTAGCAACTGAATGATGAAGTCCAGTACATTATAAAAGAATCAGAAGAGTTAAGTGGCAAAGGAGCCCCTATGAAAGAGAAGTCTCAACAACTAAAGGGGCTTATTCATCTCCATCAAACACAGAAAGAGAGAATCCAAGATTATGAGGATATCCTGTACAAGGTGGTCCAATTCCACCAAGTCAAGGAAAAGGTAAGACTTGTCACGGATACCTGGAAGACCCTCAGTTTTAAACTATAAAGTTAAAAATAAATTATTGTGTAAAAAAGGCCAAATTTTTTATTCTGGTATTAGGAGCTTTCCACAATCTGGCCTTTAACTTTTTTCTCACTATGCCTCTATCCTCCCTTATGATCCAGCCAAACTGAGCTCTTCTTTGTCCCTCAAAGATAGTGCACACATTCCTAACTCCAAGCCTGGACTCTCAGGCGCCATTACCTGACAGATCCTTTTCTCTCCCCTCTACTATTTAAACCCTGCCCCTGCTTCCAACAAACCTATGTCACTTGGAATGTTTTGTCTCTCTTCTAAATTTCCAGAACTTTAATTGTTTATTTCACACATTTGTCATTTTTAGCACCTTGATTCTTTTTTTTAAGATTTTATTTATTTATTTGAGAGAAAGATTGAGAGAGAGAGAGCAAGAGTAGGGGGAGAGGGAGATGGAGAAGCAGACTCCCTGCTAAACAGGGAGCCTGATGTGGGGCTTGATCACAGGACTCTGGGATCATGACCTGAGCCAAAGGCAAACTCTTGACTGACTAAGACACGCAGACGCCCCTAGCATCTTGATTCTAAATTACTTCTTCCCCTCAACTCAAGTGTAAGCTCTTCGAGGGAAGAAAACAAATTCTTTTTAGTTTTTTTTGTATCTCAATTAACTGACAATATGGAGTGCTCAATAGAGCTTTATAGTTATTAGCTTCTATTAACAGAAAATGGACATCTATCAATATCCCTTTAAAATAGCCTCTGAATTTACTCAGATCACAAATCTAAATCTTGCAAAGGTTTTAAACTCTGACCAAAAAGAGTGTTTTCTTTTTTAATAGAATTGACAATGTTAATCCCTCAATTTTACCCTATCAATTTGAAGCACTGTAACATTTTTTTGGTCTATGACACTAATAATTATAGATGGGCTTGGCAGCATTTTGACCAGGTAGTAAAATTGGTTATAGCAAGTGGGCTTTTAAAAAAAATCTATCTTCATAAAAAATAGGAAATCCATGTTAATTATTAATGTCCTAAATTCCAGCTGGGTCATCTCAATAAATCAAGGGAAATGGAGCTTTTAGAAGAGCCAAAGGATCTGGATGATGCCCACAAAGCCCAGGTTCACCTCAGTCGCTCACAGGAAAAGCAAGCACATATTGATCATCTCCATGAACTGGTCCTTTCCCTGGGAGTGGATGTCATCTCATCTGTGCTACGGCCTGTAAGCAACTTAGAACACCATCACTCACACCTAACTAAAGCTGAGAGTTGGGATATAATATCAAAGAAACCAGGCAGATTGCCTAGTATATGTTAAATTTAAAAATACATTAAACCATTGGGATAGTTATTTGTGGTGAATCTCTACCACCTATAACAAAAGAAAAGACTTTTAAGGAGAAAAATCTGTTTATAGAAGTCTTGTTTAATACATCTATTCTCATGCTAATTAAAATGTAGAATTGTAGAGCTGTGTTGTCTAATATGGATGGCAGTCAGGTTTTCGCATTTGAAATGTGCCTAATGCAACTAAAGAACTAACTTTTATTTATTTTTAATTAATTTAAAATTTAAAACTGACACTCACTGTAATTATGGAAAAACTTTTAAGTACGTTGGGAACAGCTTGGATATGTGAATCTACATTTTAAACTATAAACTATGAAATTTGAATACAGATCAAGTATTTCTGATAGAAGTTTAGCAACAATTAAGAAGTGCTTGTAAGTGTGAAATACACGCTAGATTTCAAAGACGTAGTATAAAAAGCTGTATTAATATTTTTTACATTTGTTTACATGTTAAAATGATGATATTTGGTTGAACAAACTATATTATGAAAATGAGTTGCACCTGTTTCTTTTTTACTTTTTAATATGGCTACTGGAGAATTTTTAATTATTCATGTGGCTCAGGTTATATTTTGATTGGACCTATGCTGCTTTAGCATTTTGGATCTGGAAGGTATCCTAGAGATGATCTAGCCCAGGACACTCATTTTATAAAAGAAGGATCTGAGGCCCAGAGAAGCTGCTCTATCCATAAAAGCCCATAAAGAAGGAGCTTCCTGGCTTCACCAAAGGCTTGCGTACTCATTACTGGATCTGCTTTATGCCACTGGCCTGACCTTAACAAAGGAGCCTAAAAAAGAAGAAAATATTTCCAGATCATAATTTTATAAATAACACATTGGACTCTGATTTAAAAAAAAAAAAATCCTCCAAATTCCCAATTTGAGGGAAGAAAAGATTGTTTATTCTATCCAATATGTATAACATAAATAAAATAATAATGGCCAATTTTACTTTAAAGTTCATTTAAGATCTCCACTAAATGATATGGAATGCAATGAACCTAAAGTGTTTTTTTTTTAAATTTTTTAACTGAAAGACATAGAAATACAAAATATCTGTCACTGTTTATAGAATTGGTTTTTACCAAGAAGGAGTTTTCTTTTTAAAGAGTTTTATTTTATTGATAAATTTATTTTAAAAAGAAAGAAAAAAGTAAGATGTGTCACTCTGCACAAATAATACTATAAATTGTTCTCCAGCCCTCATCTGGCCTTGGCCTCAGCAGCCTTCTGTGTTGAGCACAGATTGGCGCACTTGCATAATGAACTTGAGGTTAAGTTCAAGTTGACAGGAAAATTATAGTGCAGAAGCTGAATGTTTCCAATGCATATTTTATGCCTTTTGAAGTAAAAATTATACCTTATAATAAACGGCGTCTCTGAAGAGTTGGGTGTGATGAGCCAATCTTCAAAACTGTAGTTTCAAGACTAGAGTTGCAATGGTTTGCCTTCCCCAACATGCTGGTGTCTGGCTTCTTTCTGAAATCATTACATTCAAATATGCTTAAGGTAAGGTAAGCCAGGAACTGTTTTTTTAATGTCCTTTATAAGTTTCATAACGCAGGTAAATAGCACGTTCGTCTCATTGCTGTTTCACCCACTCCTTTGTCACTTTCTCTTCTCTTTCATTTTCAGAACTGCTCTAACATTTCTGCAAAGAACCTGCAGCAGCAGCTGGACATCCTTGAGGGGGACCATGTGAACTGGCGTGCCAAAGCCCAGGAGTATGAACGGACCCTGACCTGCAGCTTGGAGTACTGCACCTCAAGGGACAAGATAAACGAGGTGGGGTGGCAGGGGTGAGAACCGACATTGTCAAAAGCTGCTCTGAACCTAAAGCACATGTCTCTTGTCTGTACGTGTGCACCCACAATCAGGAAACCTTTTATTCCACCTTGACCTTTCATCCACCAAGCACGGTCTCAGGGCTCTGAAAGTTTGAGTAAATTTCCAGCACCCAAGTCAGTATGTTGTCAATGCATAGAAAAGCCTAGAATACACTATTGTGGTGTTTTATTTGCTTTCTTTCCCCCCACTCAAGCCTGTACAGCAATTGCTTGCTTGAGTGGATATAGCCCATTAGGGCAGAAAGTGTGATGCTGTCCCCATGAAGCCAGCTCCGAATTGCTGAGATTCTATTTAAGTACCATTGACTCACAGTGAAGGGGGTGCCAAGGGCCAGGGGAGCAGGCTCTTTGCCTCAGTGGCTACAAAGTATTATCACGAAAGTCAAGTGGCTGGTTTCATATTTACTCAAATGGAGTGGCTTCCTGGCAAAACAACTTCTAGAGAAAAAGGAATAACAGATGAAAGTCATCCTCTACATCCATGCACCTGCTCACAAACACATAATTCCACCTACTCTCCCTCAATTCTATCTAAACCCCAGCCCCCAAACATGTAGCAAGCCACAGTAACCCTCCCCTAGTTAAACTTCCCATTTAAATAAACTTATTCTGGGGAGAAAACATAGATCAGTATGGAAAATATAGAACCTGACTTTTGACTGAGAATTGACAGCAGGATAGAGAGTACTGTAATGCCAGACTTATCTCCATTTAGAGCAAAATGTTTCGAGTCCATCAGTCTCAAGTCCATTACAAAAATGGGTGGAAGAAAAGGAAGTGGTAAACCTTCTCAAACATTTAGTATATGCCCAATTATTTACATAATCTGGGCCCAGCAAGTATCAAATATCAGACAACATTAGCTCACGGACTCAAGTATGAGTAACTAAACTTGAATGGTGGTCTAGCTCTGAAGTGCTCCTTCCTGCAGGCCACACTTTTCTAGACCATGCGCAGGTGCAGGAAGGGAGCAGGGCTGGAAGGAAAGTGAGAGGGGCAGAGAACAGGAGAGGCCATGTGGATCCCAGGAGAGAAACAGGAACATCAACGACGACTTTCATTTTAGCTATGTGCCGCAGGACTGTAGAGTTGCTGCTCAGAGTCCATGTTCCAGGGATGCATTCTGGGCTAGAGATTCATTCGAGGTTAAACCCAGAGTGTAGCCTACCCTCTATGGCCTCTTCCAGTTTCAGCTAACAATAGTTCATTCAGGTCTTATTAAAGAAAACATTATTCTCCCCAAGGCTATAACATTTAGATTTGCAGGCTTGCAAACAATTTTTTTCCTACCTTTCCCCAAAGTTATCTTCTTTCTTCCCTTCCTCCTCCTCCTTCTCCTCCTCTCTAATCCCTCCCCCTCCTCTTCTTCTTCTTCCTTCTTCTTCTTTGGTAAACTTTTGTTTTGCCAAAAATCTCTCTCACTGCAGGGATGCACAGCTCTATACTAACCGAAACAACAAGCGGAGGAGGCTAAGGGTTACTCCCAGCTCCCTATAGCTCGGTTTCCATCTTCCTGATGCGCTGTGGCTTTTATGGAGCTGGGTCTCCCTATTCAGGCCTTTCCCACAGTGGTTCTATTTACAGGTTGCCTCGTGATGAGCCTCTGCTGGGAGCCAGCTAGCTGAGATGACAGATGTCCCTTGTAGTCACAGTCGGCACGCCCAAGGATTGTCTGTACCATGAGCAACCAGATACATGTGGGTTTGATTTAGGAATCGGATATCACTTTAACATGACCTTAAACATTAAGAGAACTAGTCTTCCCACTTGCTTCTACTTCATATCCAACTAATCTTTGATATAAGTTACAATTTCATATTTAAAGGCTCTTTGAAAATCTTTGGTCCTTTTCTCCTTTCCTTTTTGTAGAAATTCAGTAGGCATGTCACAGTGTAGCATCCACACCCTGGACTTTCCAACCACAAGCCTAATGGGAAGATAATCAGAAGGAATATTTTTAGCACACTTTAGTGAAATAAATATATGTACACTCTAGTTTGTATTGTGAATATCAGAGTGCAGATGGGTAGATGCCAAGTGGTGATAATATTTATACACCTAGACATTTTTATTATATTGTCATTATTAATATTTGGCATAGGTACTTAAAACATTATAAAAAATTGAAAGCAATATGTTACTCTACTTTTTTTGTATATAAAAACATTAAAGTCAGACACCCCACGAGAGAACTAGAGCAAACATTGCATTTTTTTTGAAGATTTTATTTATTTATTTGAGAGAGAGAGAGAAGGGGGGAGAGAGAGAAGCAGGCATCCCAGCTGAGCAAGGAGCCCGACACAGGGCTCGATCCCAGGACCTTGGGATCATGACCTGAACTGAAGGCAAACACCCAAC